CAACCAGATAATTGAAAAAACTTCAGGAAATCGTCAGTGATGAATCTGCTTCTTCCTGAAGTGAGACAAAAGTCCGGACTTGAAATTTTGAGCTTCCCTGATTGAATTTGTGATCAACAAATAACTTTCTGCAAAGCCGTTAGTATAGAACCCACCACTTCTCTGAATGTAGATTCGAAATTTTGAGAGTCTAACTAAACTTTTTTAGAGAGTGCGGACTTATAACCACCTAATTAAGAATGTAGTCAGTTCTTGCATAGAGCCAAGGAAGTCAAAAAATGTGTGTAGTTTTTGGGAAATGAAAAGTTATTTATCTTTCCAGGTACCTTCAAACCTAAACGATTTCAGCCAAATTTTCAGTTCTCAACGATTCTGGATAATAATGAAAATTCTGTTTATCCGATGGAAGGCCTACACATACTTGATTGATGTATGTATGCCATATTGGCAAGGGATCTCTTTCTTTTCACTTCACTGTTTTATACTCTTCTTTTGTCTATAAATCTAAAGTTACCCACAACAGCTTTGTCACATAATCCGTAAATTATTACGGATGGAGTTCCAAAACAAGAGGAATGAAAAACATTTTTGTGAACATTTGCATAAAAAATCATAACGTATGAACTTCTCAAAGTGACAACATTCTAATTAATAAACTTTACTCACCCACACCAGCCATTAATAAGAACTCGCTTCTGCAAATATTCACAAGAATTTGAATAAAAAGAAAAAAACCTGTCATCTATACGATATTACTCAAGAATTCGATCCCAATGAACACAGGTATGTTCAGAATTTCAAACAGTGCCACAACCTGCTACATTGAAGGAAGATAATGAAAGCGATTCATTGAAAAAGATTTGCTCCTACAAGTGTACAATAATGAAAGAAGTGTTACTAGTTAGCTAGAGTTTCAGTACATGATATACTTGACATATGTACCTGTGGACTTCATACGTATGTTCCGAACAAGTACCAGAGTAAAGGAGAAGAGAGAGAAAATAGATGGGTATCAATGCTACTGTGTCATTGTATTGTTTTGTTATATAGTCTGAAATTCGTTTTACACGATAAGTTAAACGAACAAACTATTACAAATAAATTTACGATTTCTAACTTTTTCAAATCTACAAGGAAAAACAGTATATATGTATGCCAGATGAGAGGACTGATCAAGACGATTATTTTTGTTCATGTAACATAATACCACAAAGAGTCAGACAGTGAAAGCAAGATCTTTCGTCCGTTAATGAATATGTAAATTGAATAAGACAGATATTTTTTTACCATATAAATATTTGACACAATGAAGGTTCAATAAACTTTATTGTAGCGTTCACTTGCAGTGAGAGTCAGAACAATGTAATAAACCAATAGTGAAATCAAGCTAAGCTTAATTTCACTTTTTCTATTTCTTTCATTATCGATACCAACTTTCCCAATTAACAGGGAAATCAAATGACAAAACAACGAAAATCCTAAAGACAACAAACAACAAATAATAGAACAGGAAAAAGCTTCACCTCATAAATTGATTTTGTTCTTATCATATATTAATACTTGGAACGTGCTTGAATCAGAATAAAAAATAGAAAGAAAAGGTAATGAATTTGAATAATAGACTCAGTGATAAATCATCGAAGCATGTCTACCCCCTCGACATTTTTCATCAAAATTTTAATATCGACACAGGGAACGGAAACGAGTATTATACAATGAGAGTAACATGTTTACATATATCGGATGATTTTGGCGGTGGAAGCCAACCGTGATAAAATTTGCCCATGTATGTTTTAGATGCAAAATCAAGGACGAACACGACGTAGATGAGACCAAAATAAATCGCACAACACATCCTCAACTCTCACACTCATTTAACTGGTCACCTTACTTTTACTAATTACATATTTCATTTATTGTTCCATCACTTTCACGGTTCTCAATGTTGGCATTGGAAATTTCCGCACTAATTTTTCAATAAAACTATAACAGAAGTTAATGGATTCCTTGTCCACAACCATATGAAAGCGATCATTCATTTTTTCCAAAAAGTTTTACAGCTTCCAGATACAATGTTAATAGCAATATGATAACAACAATTATATTTCACTGCAATAGTAATATATCTACATACATTTTCCCAATCATTATCATAAGTTTTGTCTTGTCTGTATCTTACTCCTCCCGTCCACTACACAGTTCTCATCACATATCTGAGAATGTAGTATTTTTGTCCCTTAACATCACATTTTAAAGAATCCATAGCCTTCGCTGACCATTTTTATCTGTCACATATATAATCCACTCTGTCCACATTCTTTTCATAGATTAAAATTCCGTTGTAGTTTAAGATTCTCAAAAACTTCGGTTCCTTCAAGAGAAATAGCACTACGTTTAAGTTGCTTGGCGACACACTGGTCTTGAACAGTTATTTGACTTCATCATATTTCGATAGTTCTCCACTCCTGGCATTGAATTCAGATTTGAAGTTATTCATCTTCACTGCTATGTTTAGATTCGAACTAATCGACGCGTTCAATTGCATATAATCCCAGTAACAATCTCTCCTAGAGAAGAGTGTTCATTTCGTCAAGATTTTTTTTTACTCACTATAGCGCTACTCTTTCCAATAAAATATCCTCATCCCGGACTTATTGTAGCAACACGCAAACCGCAAAGCAGAAATGCTTTCTTAGTTCATAAAAAGCTTTGAATGATTAACTACCTCAACTGATTCATACTCCTTCCCTAGATCCATTCCCTACAGTACATCATTAAAGTGCACAGAATCAAAAAGAGCAGTAATAAATCACAGCTAACAGTAAAAGTGATTAAACAGAGAGCCTATTATTAGTTATACAACGCTGGAAAGACATACAATAAGAAATTGAAATGCGACATCTTTTCCTGTTAATTTCATTTCGGATTATATATGTGTATATATAATGTATATCATGTGACTAATAATGCTAAATCAATTAACCTTGGTCATCGAGAAACAGAACAGAAAAAGCAACAAGATAGTCGGTCAATATAGTATTATATGCTCTATTAAAACGACAAATTAAAGTACATTAGGTAATTATTTCACCAATTTGGAGACTGGAAAAATGCTAATGAAATTATTAACAGATTATCCCAATGCTATTCAAGTTATTATCTTATTGTAACCAGTACAACTCACTCAATATGCAGGTTGCAGAGACTGCAAATGTGATTTTATAGTTAGTTAACGCAGTTGTGAGTAATGTAATTTGCTTTTCAAGTTACAAATTCTATTCAGTAATGCGGATTTCATATTCAAAAGGAATAATATTAATCCATAATCCTGCAGATATGAGACCTGGAATTCGATTTGTAATGGAACATGAGAAACGATTCAAGCAAATACTTGCAAAAGATCAATAAACAAACAATACAATGGAATATTACAATAGCTACCACAAATCGATTATCTGGAGGTCTGATGGAGTGTTGGTCTATTATTACAAACAAAGCTTGTCAACATGATGTACCACGAGGAGCGCCGTACTCTTCGTATCCTCTTCACTGATTTTTTTGCTCAAACTGAGTTTTGCTCCGGTGCTGTAAAAAATCAAAAGGTTGTAACTCCGCGCTACAATGTACCATAACGTGGTCCTCAGGAATAAGAAGCGGTAAGTTCCAAAATGTATAACGGAATTCTTATTATAGGAAAACTCCAAAACAAGGAAATTATCCATAAAATGTGACATAAAGTTTTATTTATCCTTATATTTTTGAAATATCGTTTTAAGTTCTAACTTTTTAAATACTGGATCTGATTTCAAAAGTTTACATGTCCAACTTTATACGAAAGTTATGAGAATTACTAATCGCAACTTCATAACTTTCACTACAATTTAAAAAAAAAAAAGTGCCTTGCAATAATAAGCAGTTCGTGATCGGAAATCTCGAAAACTGAATCTGAGTTATAATTCAGATTAATCATTTCTCCACTCATTGTGTACGGACTGAGAACAGTGTTGAGTTTTTCTTAGACGTATGACTCATCCTCAAAGGTCATTCCGACAACTATAATAAGAACGCAAATTTTGGAAAATTTATTTCGTTGTGAAAAATTGCGAAGAGATGGAAGACAAACTGATGAAGAAGAGTTTGAGAGAACTGGAATATATCCATTTATGTGTTAAATGACAAACACAAGCAGAATATATGACTGGAGATAGCTGAAACTTGAGATGAACGTAGAATCATTTGTAAAAAACGCCACAAATGGAACAAAGTACAGCACCAAAATGAAACCTAAGGTAGAAGGCAGGGAAGACAAACATACAATTATCGCATCCGATTTTCAATCACTTTCTATGCATTTTTCAAATTCCAAATACTACACCACAAAAAGATGTTTTGAGTTTTTCCTTACTACACATCATTACTCCTGCCGGAAAAGGCATGATAAATCTATTGCTGCCAGTAAGCTCTCAATTGATGAAATTTCGGATCACTGTGTAATTTGCCGTATCGTTGTACACTTTTAAAAGTATGGATATATGAAATATTTAATAAAATAATTAAGAAAATCAGCTCAAAAATTGGGAATACCAAAAATCGAAGAACTGGAACATGAGTTATTTAACCGTCATTCCTCACATTAATTGGTTTGCTCAAACATCGTTAGAGACATCAATAATCAGTTGCCGATGCCAAACATCTCACTAAAACCATTTCATTCAATATACTCTTAGGCTCATTTCGGGTATACCGATAGTTCACGCCGTCTGACTTTCGTTGATTATTTCCTTGCATGAAGATTTTGGGAATGTGTTTCGTCGTGCAGAGTCCTCTTCCCTCTTTTTTTCTCTCTCTCTCTTTCTCCCTAAATGTATATATATATATATATATATATATATTAATGCTGTTGATTTCATATTGCACACAAAAACATAGAAGGGATGAACAGTCAAGGTCAGCAATAGACAACAGCATTTCCTTTTTTGCTTTTTCGTACGATAAACGGCGCTCAATAATTAGGATTGTCACCGTAATTTTCGTATGTTTCACATACCTCATCATGAATTTGTATTACGAAAGAATGGCTACAATATGAGTTTTATGTCGGAGATTTGTTAGCAACATTGCACTCTTCCCACTTCTATTTACCTACAAGCATTGTCATCTAGTGTCACCTGATGAGTTTTTTTTACATGCAATCCTTCGAAAGAAAATGAATATTGGATACTGCTTCTGTAAAGAAATTAGCAAGAAACGTCATGTCTGCCTCTGTCACCTATACAAATAATCTCCAAGGAAGAAATGATAGCTTGAATTCCAGCAAGGTTATCGAGGCCATCTGTAAGATTTACGCCCCAAATATAGGAATGGCTTATTTTCTGCTTATGCAGTACCACATATGTATTATATATTTATTTATGGCGCAAAAGCCATTTTTATAATCAAAATTGAGCATGTAGAAAATAGCAAACAATTTGAAATCTGTATATAATGTTATTCTTTGGCTTGACGTTTTATTACCTATCCACACTGAGTCAGTTCACACAAGTAATCTAAATTTCAAATAACTTATATAACAGAGAAGGAAATTTCGACTTGAAAAGCGTCATCAGACATTATACTTTAATGACAACTATTATAATAAACTCCAGCAGTATGTCGAATGTAATCCTAAATGTTTCGCATTATTTTATGCACACTCCAAATGTCCTTGAACCCAGCAGTTAAAGTTGGCTTGCATACGCTTACTTTTCAATAGAGGTCAGAGATGACGCGATAACGAGTGTAAGGAACATTATTTAAAATGCAAAACGTTGCAGAAATTATGGATATGCAGGGTTGAATTCTCGTAAAAGATACTATGTGTTTCAGCAAGTGGCTGAATGGAGTGATTGATACCAGAGATTGGTTGTTTAATGTGATTATTTACCGACTGAATTTAGCTGAAATTTGTTCTCGTATAAATTATTTTCATTTAATAAACAAGATATATATATATATACGACTAAAGCCAACAGACAAGTTAAATCAACTATCAAAGCCCTGTTTAAGCAAAAATAAGAGTTGCACTAAATATGTTGCAAGTTTTATTTGATTCAATGATCGCCAAAAATGTGCGTGTTAAGCAATGTTCTGATAACTGTTATAAACAACTAACAACGACAGAGTAATTTAATTTTTTTGTGCAAAACAAAATTATTCTAACAGTGAGGATCAGAGATCATTAGTGAGGCGTCAGAGAGTTACTTTCAGATCAACTACCACATTATCATTTCACATGATTATATCAGCTTTTAGCAATAAGTTGTGTTTTTAAACGACCCTCCGAAAGGAAGGAGATTTCAAAGGAGTGAGGTGACTGTGAAACTGATTTTAATAATCCACTGAAACGATTGAAATAAATATTGATTTCTCCCAGGACATTAAAAGTACCTTTTTGAAGCACAACGCCTCTTGTGTTTTGTAATATTATTCACTTAATGATTCATCGGCAAACTTCTCAGTATGATCTGTCTAGACTTAAAAGATTGTGATTAGAAGTGCCATTAAGCGCCATCTTCAAGCATATTTGCAAATTGTTCAGTATAACTGCAGAGAAAAATCGGTTCTTAATCCATACCACACGTTGAATAAATTCGTTGAATAACAAAGTTCTTTAAATTAATATAAAAATGCCGATCCTTAAAATTATTATTATCAGTTGGATTAATTTGTCCATTGATCATTTATGGCACACTTAATGTCAAATTACTTTTCTAAAAAAGCTCTTCCAAGTGCATAGATTTGCGTTTTACATTTGGCAGTGAAATAATTCAAGTGTTTTATTTCGTAGACTCGTTGCAAGGGGCCCATTAATGTTGAAGATATTTTTTTTAAGTTGCTAAGAGAAAAAATAAATAAGGTAAAAACGTGGGGATAGTAAAAAAAGGTTATGAAAAATATTTATTTTAAAATCGCTTCAACAAAAAGGGGCAAGTTAAACTTTTTGGGACGAGAAGATGAAATCGAGAAGATGGATATTTCAAGACATCACCAGCAATAAAACTAAAACCAATCTTTTTAAGACCAATCTTTTCTATCTTCCACTTTGCAATACAAGTGGTGCAAGTGTTCCAAACATGGAGCTTCAATTTTTCTAAAGAAACAAATTTCGAAGAGATCTAACTGGCAACGGAGCAATACGTGACAAGTGCTTATGTAGAAGGCACATTCAAAGCAGGAATATGTTGTCCCATCTAGCATTACAAATATTGTGAAGAAAGCAAGGATAAAGTTCGTCATTTATCACTGTCACTTTAATATATATATATATATATATATATATATATATATATAT